TCTCTTTACTATTCATGTGATGAATATATTTTCTCAATGACTGAATGTATTTGTTTTGTCCAGGCCAGCAGCCATGATGATGAGCTGGGAACAGCTCTGGGAAATTGTAATTAAAAACATGACATTTTCTTCTTTGTTGGTTGTTGGATTTTATGGCTATATGAAATTTTTATTATTTGAAATTTGCCATTGCAAATCGAAAATTTGTTTGGATAAAGAACCAGAAAATATTTTAGAATTTCAAATACAGCTCTCCAAGAAAAAGTTCTCAATGGAATAAGAGATCTAAATTTTGAAAAAATGGTGTGTGAATCATATTTCCAAAAAATGACATTTTTCTTTTAACAACATTTATAAAATCTCGTCTTCTCCCAAAAAAAAAGAAGAAAAATTACAAATAACAAAATTTACTATATATTACTTCTATATTCGGCTAGGGCTCGAACTTCGGTCCTCGGAACAACACAAATGTTGTCAGGCCAATTAACGTTCTGAGCCATCAACACACTTCCAAAAACGGTTGCGCAAAAAAATGTGTATGCCATGGAAGCAATGGTAGGTGTGTGGATTAATTATCCATCGCTACAACAAAAATCTGCTTTGAAATGGACTGTTCCTAGAATTGAAGACAAATGTCGAACTTTGACAAATTTGAATTTAATTTGCATATGCAAGTTTCGCATCAGGGCGGAATAAATACAAGTTATCAACATACGACCTTTGTAAAGCCACATAGCCGCATAATGGTGGGTACGTAGGTTCTTCTCCTGGCTTTCCTTTTCATTGCAAAACTTAGATCATTAAGCTCGATTCGAAAGAGTATAAATAATCACTTTAAATATTATAAAAATATATATTTTTTTAACAAAATATGTTTTAATAATGATTTGATTTAAGTTTCCTGTTAGAATTTAAAATATGCGATATTATGTGTTCTCATTTTATAAAAATATTTTCTAAAATATTAAAATTTTGAATGGTTTATGAGGTCAGCAGGCCACAACAACAGATTTGAATTGAACAATGGTGAATAGGTTTGTTGCTTAAGTCTTTTGTTTTGACAATAATCACAAGCATGATTCTTGTGTGTTAAATTAAACAAATGATTGATGAATATCATTCAAATTAGTAAAATACTAATGGAATGCTAAATATTAGCATTCATGATTATATTTAACGTATAAATCAACAAAGGAAACAAATATATCGACTAAAGTATAAAAAGATTTGAAATCTAGTATTGTTAGACAAATATAATGAATACGTTGTGTGCTATTTAAAAATAGGTTTTGAAGAGCACTGTAGTAAAAATATTATTTAAAAATCCAAACTAGGATAATCCAGTCTCAAATTGTAGTTTTAAAAAATCCAAGACTTTTTTCGATAAAAAAAAATATTTTCAAAAATGCACATTTATGCGATAGGCCCCCATAAATTATTTTTTAAAAAATCCACTCTGCTATAATAACATGTCCAAAGACTGACCATGGAGGGGTACCATTATATACAATGTACTCTGAAACTCCATATTATTCCCTACTCAATGTTAATCTAAGAAAAATCTTAAAAAGAGACCAAACTCGGGTCTACATTTGGCCAATATTGATAACTTTTGTAAGGAAGATTATCTATTCAATTGTAACTCATAATATTATAACCCTACGGTCAATAACCAAAAAAGTATACGTAGATCAATAACCGTGGTACATTTGTACCCATCCAAAGATAGCTCTGTAACACATTAAAAAATTGGACTATCGTGAGGTTTTTTGTTTTAAATTAGTCTATACGGATCTGATCTAGATGTAGGAAATCAAAATTATATATATATTAAAATAATATATATTGAAATTCATGCTTAAATGATAATCTATCTAAAACAATCATATTAAATTCGTTATTGTTTTCGAATGGGTTAAGCTTTTTAGTTATTTTTTATTGGGATCTTCCTCAACACCTCTGCTAATTTTTGTGGCCCTAGACAACATGGGGCCATCAGGGCGACTCGTGGAAATCAGAAACTATCCTGGTTTTCCTTTGGTTTCAGGCTATCTTTAGATGGGTACAAATGTACCACAGTTATTGATCTACGTAGGTAATAACTTTCAAAAATTTTAAAAATTATATATACGGAAAATATTTATAATTTTTTTCTTCGATTATGTGTGAAAATACCTCAAGAATGATTCCTCAAAATTTGATCCAAATATCTCCATTATTAAAAGTTTTACAGCATTTGTATTCGAAAAAAGGTACAAATGAAATATTAATATTTTACAGAAAAAATCTAGGCTATACCAAAACGTGGACCCATATATTCCATGTTTATAGGTGTAAAAGACTTTCAAAAACAGATTTTTTTACAAAAATCCATGGTTTTAAATCAGACAGACCTGTAAAACTTACATGAAAATTTACGCTTATAGTTCCGAAGAAAACACTCTTAATGCTATGATACCTTCTACAAAAGCTCCCCTATTTTTGATCTGATATACCCTTATAAATATTTTGTTTATTCTTTTTAATACTTAAAAATCCAAGCTTATAGCTCAGACTGTCCTTTTAAAATGTCTTAAAGTGATTAAAAACAAATCGACGATCTTTAATACTTTTATGGCTAGTCAAAATTATATGGAAAATTTACGATCATAGCTCACGAGAAAAATGTACACTGACCTGGACCAATACGAAAATCGCATTCCCTTCCTTATATGTATCCCCAAATTGCCAAGCTTCAATTTTTACAATTCCTCCCTCTTCTAACGGTAAATTAATTCCTTGCTAGACAAAAAACTAGATCTCTTGCAATTCTAAGCTCTAAAATATTTCAAATATTTTTTTTTAACCATAAAAAGTTTGACAACAAAATCCAAACAAACCATTCTTGGACGCCACTTACACACACATACTCATACACATGCACACACACACACACATTCAAGAATTCCAATAATTTTTCTCAAACGGCTAATTAACAAATCTTGGCGAAAACAACTTTTCAAACCCCCCAAAAAAACACAGTTTGAACCCTTTTTTGTTCAGTTGCTGCTGGCTGCCAGGCTAGCCTGCTTTAGACTCATTTTCAGAATAAGGCAATTTTGTTAGTTGGTCGGTTGGTTCCGTCTCTATAAAAAGCAGACAACTTTAATTAAAAGCAATTTCCACATATATTGCTAACCAAAAAAAAAAACTCAAAAGAATAAAAACAAAAACAACCGTACCCAACGAAATCGAATCGCACAGATATCTAAATCCGTACAAAATTGAAACTGGGTGGTGGTGGTTGTGAGGTACACAACTCAAACACAGAAAATAAATTCGTGCTGAAACAAATCAGCTTAAAATTGCCTATTAACAACAACTAACACTAAATCTGCTTAGAAACAAAGTTAAACACACACATACATGTCTAGAAAATTGTTTAAGGTTTTTTTTTATCGATGTGTTGATTTGTTGTTAACATCTTGGCTAAGAAAATTAAAACAAACAAAAAAACTTATATTCTAACAGGTTGCGGAAATTCGTTCACACACACACACGAACATACACCTTTTATATTGGATTTTATTTTCAATTTTCCACTTATTGGGAATATTTGTGGAGTTTTTCAGTTTTTTTTTGCGGCAAGGTGATTTTTTTTTTGGAAAATTGTTAGCATTCTGGTTTAAAAAATGTTTGTTTGCAATGTGAAATACACACACACACTCACACACATACATAGTCGTGTATGATCACATTAACTACCGAGAGAGAGAGAGAATTAGAAAAATAAAACTTTTTTTGTTTTGTATAGACATAAATTATTTTTAATTAAAATATTTAAGGTGGTGGTCGGGTGCTTTACCACAAACATCAATAATTACGAGAATACGAGGGTGGTATAGGAATATTAGGGAATTAAATTAACTGAATAAGGAAATATTGTTCGAAATTAAAAAAAATTAAAATGTATTTTTAGTAAAAATTACTGTAGCTGAATTCTTCATGATCAATACAAAATGTTGATGAAACAATTGTATAAATTAACTATTAAATTAATTCAGCTAGTTGAATTGAGATAAAAATAACAATTCAGCTAGCTGAATTGAGATAAAAATAACAATTCAGCTAGATGAATTGAGATAAAAATAAGAATCCATATAAATTTTTATTAATTAATTTCCAGAATTAAAAAAAATAAATACAAAATTTTATGAAAGCAAATTATATTTAAAGACTCAAGAAGATTCCTAGGTAAACATTTGAGAAATATTCCAATTTAAATTTAATTTGAAGCAAATTTGAATAAATGCAGATAGCTGAATTAATCAAAAATATATGTATTCAATTTCTATTTACAAAATTCGCAAATTTCAGCTAGCTGAATTGATTAAAAATGACAATTCAGCTGACAGCATTGATAAAATGTATATATTTTTAAATTACAATTAATTTAGCTAAAAATTGAATTAACACAACTCTTTCTAATTTATTCAGCAAGCTGAATTCATATTTTTTTTAAATTTTGGTACTACGAATAAAAAACATTTCGGAATTCCGCAAAATATTGATACATTTTTTTGGATTTTCGACGATATTCAGCTAGCCGAATTTATATATTTGTTTTGCATAAATATGAGTTTGACTTTGTTTGTGATATTCAGCTAGCTGAATATAATATATTAATAATAAAATTCCAATAAACTAAGGTGTATAGTAGATGCTACACCACTATCCTACCAAATTTCTACAAAAAAATCGATTCGAAGTTGAGACGATTTTAATCTAAATTATATTTCTACCTGCAGACCCTCGTCATTTTAAATACCGAATGAACTTTTCTTTATCCAAGTTGTGCCATAGGTGTAATAGCTCAATTAGTTAAACGGCTTAAGAAAAAAAAACACACACACACACTGTAAACTTTACAAAAACAAACTAAAAACCTCTAACTGCCTCGCCTGAGCGTTCATGTTTTTTCGGGGAGTCTGTCAGTGCAGTATATCTCTCTTCGCTTTAACTTACCGTCTTGTTTGCCTTGGTATAGACTGAGTCCAACAAACTGGTGCCTTATGCGTTTGTAGATTACGCGATGACTTATATGTCAAATCACCACATTCGGATTGCCATACTTGTAGATTACCCTCGGCTGGATAAAATGTATAGAGACTATTTGTGGATGAGGCAATAACCGGTGATCCACCGGCTGCTGCCACCAATGCAGCAGCGGCATCACCGACATTCGTTGAATTCAGGACGGTTGCGGCAGGCGGTAATGCGGCAGCAGCTACGGCGCTGGAGGCCAATGTTGCACTGGAAATGGGTTGTACGAGAAGAGCCTGGCTTGCGGCTCCGGGTGGCAGAGTTGTGACCATTGCATTTTGTGCCGCCGCACCGGGATATTTGTAGTGTTGCATGCGCGATGGGGTTGCAACTGCGGCAGCGGCGGCGGCAGATGATGATTCATGTTTGAGTATAAGGGCATTGGAGGGATCATAGCCATGACGTTGTCGAGAAATGGCATCCACAGAATGGGAACGTATGGCTGCACCGGAACGATGCATTAACATCATATTGCTGCGATTGTTGTTCGAGGAGTTGGAGGAGGAGCTCACCGTTTTCAATATGGATGGTGACATGGCTCGAGTTTTGGCTCGTCGAAAACCACTGTTATGCGAGTTGGCGGCCGCCGAGGTATAGCGGTGATTCTGTACCGCAGCTGAGGCAACCACAGGTTGCCGTTGTTTTTGATATTGCAAACGTTGCATGGTTTGTGGTGAGCCCATTGCCGCCGAGTTGGGTGAGGCCGACGAAGACGAGGAGGATGATGTGCCCGGACATGATAATGTGGTTTGCAGTACTGGTATGCCATATCTATTTTCAGCCGAACCCCTTCTCTGCTCCTTGAAATATTTTTCCAATAACTGTTGCTGTTGTTGTATCGAAGAGGAGGAGGATGATGACGATGGGCCGCTGCCAGTCACCATGGGACGCCTGGTGATTTGGGGAACACCCATGGCTCCTGCTATTACACGATTTTTGGATAAATCCATAGACTTGGTGGCTGTGGCCAAAGCATGACCTGCCGTCGTTGCTGTGGCCGCCGTTGGGGATGACGACGATGATGATGTCGTCGTGGTAGCTGACAAATCAGCATTGGCTGACAAGCCGCCAGTGGCAGCTGATGACAATTGTGCCAATGTAGAACCACCGACATTTTGATGTAATTGATTGTGGTGTTGGTGTTGTTGTTGGTAGTGTTGTTGTTTGTTGTTATTTGCATTTGTAGCAGCTATTGTTGACTTGCCAATATTGTTATTGTTGTTGCTGCTGTTACTGTGATGACTGTTGTTATTGTTGTTGCAGTTGGCTGTGGTGCTATTGTTTGCCGTTCCACTTGTTGGATGCTCTGAATCCGTTGAAACCCTATCCGGATCACTTTCAAAACCTTCATCGAGCGATCGTGTTGGGCTCAAGATGGGTTTCGAATGTTGCTGTTCCAGTTTCGTTGTTGTATGCATGGACGTCATTATTACATCTTTTTTATGTGACATATTTGCCAAAAAACAATAACAATAAGTAAACTTAACACTTGACAACTCTCAGAAAGAGAAGCTTACGAAGGAGGGCGGGCACTTTTGTATTCTTACAAGATCGTATTACTTTAGTAACTTTTTTGTTTTTTGTATTCTCTTTTTTCTTGTCACCGTTTGTGATTTACACTTGAGTGAATCTTTTTCTTCTTTTTTTCTGTTGTAAGCGAGTCGTTTGTATGTAAGTGGGACTGACAGACCGAACAATATATACGTCTTAGCCGGTGAGGCTTATACAACAACTATAACGTTTTGCAAATGCGTAAAACCGGCAGATATTTTATTTCGTTTAGATGGTTTGCAAAATATTTTTTTTCAACACAGTTTTATATTTTCAAAATTTGTAATTTATTTCCAACACAATTTTTTGCAATAATCTATTTTTTTAAATTGATATATTTTTCTTAAATTTGTCACTTTTCTGTAAATTTTTCTCTTAGGTTTGATTTTTCATTTTGTTGTAATCTTTCTGTTGTCATAACTTTCATTTATTGATTTATTTATATTTCTTCAAAAAATTTTTTTTCAAATCTTTATTTCAAAATTTTATTTCACTCTGTGATATTGACACTTTGTTTCTTCTAACGTATCCGCTGTTAGATGATATTCAATCGCTCGTTGATTTTTATTTTTCTGTTTGGCCGTTACGTTTTCTCTAGATATTTTGTGTGCTTTTCTTGTGAAGCTTGTCTTCTTCGATTCTCCGCTTACTATGTCTTATGCGCACGAAAGTCGTTTTCATACTAAACATTCATGGGGCCCGACACTATGACTGTGTGTTGTTGACGTCCGGTGGTGATTCGGCGGTGCTCTGTATATTTTACTCTGGCTAGCTGGTTGGCGCTGCTGTTGTTGCTTCTTCATCATCATCGTCGTCGTCGGTTTTATTAACGTTTTTGTTTGTGGGTTGTTTTCGGTTCATCTAACAGCAGCTTAACAACTGGCACTTGTTTCATGTTGACAGTGATGGAATCATGGACATTATTTGGACTTTTTAGGGTACACAAATTTGTACAAATTGCTTCGTGAGAGGGAGAGTGGGAAGGAGAGAACATGACATAAGTGACGAATGTTTAATTTTTAATACTATTTTTACAACTCAACAGAGTTTGAAAACTTAAAAAAAATTTTCAAGGCAGATTAAAAACAAATATTTTAATTTCGATATTTTTATAACCTTCACCACACTGTGGTACAAGGTATTATATCCTTGTGCATATGTCTGTAACAGGCAAAAGGAAACGAGATAGACACATTTTCTAAGTCGATATATGCATGTCCGTCCGTCCGAATGTCTGTCTGTCCATGTTAAATTGCAAACAAAGTACAGATCGCATTTATGATTCGAATTTTATGAAATTTGGCACAGCTCATTTATTTGGTCCAAGGACGAACCCTATTAAAAAAATAGGTTTAGATTTAGATATAGCTCCCATATATAGTTTCGTCCGATTTAAGGTAAATGGTGCACCAAAGTCCCTATATATCTTTCGATTTGCACGAAATTTGGCACAGCGTAGTGAATTAGGTCTAGAATGATGTGTGTTAAGTTTCCTGAAAATCGGTTCAGATATAGATATAGCTCCCATATATATTTTCGTCCGATTTAAGGTAAATGGTGCACCAAAGTCCCTACATATCTTTTGATTTCCCCGAAATTTGACACAGCGTAGTGAATTAGGTCTAGAATGATGTGTGTTAAGTTTCCTGAAAATCGGTTCAGATATAGATATAGCTCCCATATATATTTTCGTCCGATTTAAGGTAAATGGTGCACCAAAGTCCCTACATATCTTTTGATTTCCCCGAAATTTGACACAGCGTAATGAATTAGGTCTAGAATGATGTGTGTTAAGTTTCCTATAAGTCGGTTCAGATTTAGATATAGCTACCATAAATATTTTCGTCCGATTTAAGGTAAATGGTGCACCAAAGTCCCTACATATCTTTTGATTTCCCCGAAATTTGACACAGCGTAATGAATTAGGTCTAGAATGATGTGTGTTAAGTTTCCTGAAAATCGGTTCAGATATAGATATAGCTCCCATATATATTTTCGTCCGATTTAAGGTAAATGGTGCACCAAAGTCCCTACATATCTTTCGATTTGCACGAAATTTGGTACAGCGTAATGAATTAGGTCTAAAATGATGTGTGTTAAGTTTCCTGAAATCGGTTCAGATTTAGATATAGCTTCTATATCTGCCAAAATGAAAAATTTAGTATCGGTTGCAGACATGTTTATAGATCCAATTTCATGAATCCTAACAGACTGCGACGCCTGTTAGGATTCATCTGTTGAATATACCCAAAGTGGTGAAAGGTATCATATAGTCGGCCCCGTCCGACTTTAATACTTTCCTTACTGGTTTTTATAGTCCTTAATAGGCGTGGATTTTTAAAAATATTTTTTTTTTCAAGAATTATAATAGACGTGGATTTTTAAAAAACATATATTTTTTAATAACCATAACCCTTTCAACCCAGCCCTTATCGAGCTGTTCTTCCAATATTTTTCCAAGTGCATCTCAAATATTCCACAAAGCTCAATCTCATTCAAGCCAATCGGTTAATAACATAATACTGTTAACACATTCACTCTCTTGGCCAAAACAAACAACATTTCTCAGTACTCTAAATATCAATGAGTATATGGCAAATATATTGAACCTCTCTCTGTATCGCTCTGTTGTTTTACCCATTCGGCTCCTCGCTTATTTTTATCAATGAACAACAAAACGCATGGCGAAACATGTGGTTGGGTCCCATTCGAATAGCGGCAGTGAGTGGAGGTTCGGAGATATTGTTTTGTTTTTATTATTTCTTGTTATTGCTCTACTACTGCTCTCAGGCACCTGTTCGCTGCAGTGCAGTTTTTTGTTGTGCTGTTTGTTCGCCTTCTTCTTCTTCTGCCACTACTGTTGGCCATGTTTTGGGCCACAAGAAAACGCTTACTCATGATAATATTATTGCTTATTGCCGATACCGTAGTGAAGTGGAGTAGAGTGGAGTTTTCTGGCAATGTTGTTGCGATTTTCCTCCGTTTTTTTTCTCTTTAGCTTGGAGTAAAGTTTGCTGTTGTTTTTATTGTTTGTGGTTATTTTTGTTGTTGTCGTTGCCTGCGAATGTTGTTTAGCTTAAAGCATTGCATCTTTTGTTTTGGAGATACTTTCATTGATTTCTAGCAAAAGCAAGTTTAGGAGGTTACAACATTCGAACGTCGCCGACAAACTACGGGAACGAGCAATTGTTGGTCGAACAAGTAGAGAGAGAGGCTGTGTGTGTGTACGCCGGAATATATCTGCAATGAAATGTTGGCTATGCATTTATAACGGTGTTATGTTGTGTGTGGCAAAAAGTTGTAAAGATGCAACTCAAGTGCAGGCATATGGGCTGAGTTATAGTTTACATTACAGTGGGTTTTCGGGGCGAATTTTTCATTTACGATGCACTGAGAAGTTATAAAAATATATGGGGATTTAAAAAAAAAATATTTTTTCAAGAAAATAATTTTCAACAACAAACACATAGGCTTGGATTAAAAAAAATATATATATTTTTTCAAGAAAATAATTGGCGTGGCTTTTTAAAAAAATATTTTTTCAAAGCCAAACATCGGCGTGGATTTTTTTTTTTAATATTTTTCGAAGCCAATTATAAGCTTGGATTTTTTAAACAATATTTTTTCAACACCCAACATATGCGGGCTTTTTTAAGCAAATGTTTGAAATGTAGAAGAAAAATACCACTGTGAAATCTCTAAAGTGTGTAATATGTACAAGGATATGTGAGAGTATGTGTGGTCACTTGGTGGTAATGTGAAAAAATATAAACTGGGGTTGCACATCCATGGGGCTATGTATCGGCATGATTGTGGACAATAAAGTGAGTGCAATTCAATGGGCTGCAGCAATTGTTGTTTTTTTTTTTTTCTACCACCATTGAGGATAAAATTTGCCTGGCGAGCTTGGAGAGCACAAGTGCAGCGGAACTTGCCGCTGTAAAAGTTTTCTGCATTGTCGCCTTGCTTGATATTGTATTTTCATTTCTTTTTTGGTGGCGCTTTAGCGGTGTTCACCTATGTGCCTCTGGATAGATGGCAAAAAAACGACTGAATGACTAACAGACAGACTACCTGACTGCTTGGTCGATCGTTCGGTCGATTGTCTGTCTAGCCAGACTGACGATGTGTACTGTCGATGATGTTGGCTACTTATGGCCATTTTGCGGCATTTTGTCTTTGCTGCGGTAAAAAGAAATGAAAATCGACTACACACAAACGCACATCGCCAGGCGCTTGCCCAGGAAAACCAACAAACAGTCGCATTGACAGACTGGACGGACGGACATACAGAGTGCATGGACAGACGGGCATGCTTAGTGCACACTGCGCTTTTGAGCAGGAGAATGGAAATGTAATGTGTTGTAGTTTTTTTGCTTTTCATTTCTTCCTTTTGTTTTGTGGGCTTGAATCGGAAAATGTACAACGAGAGTGGAGTTGAGATAAAGCCTAGTTGTTGTTATTGTTGTATGTTAGCTTGTAAATGGCTAAACTTACTACCAGTGTTAATGTAAATGTTAACGTTTTGTGTTGTTGTTGCTGCTCTTGTTGCAGCCCGAGTCATCGTCTATTGCCCTTATAGCTAGCTGTACGAGCAGTGTGATTGATTTCCGGGTAAAATGTCTGAGGCGTTTCAGCTGTGTAAATGGTGTTTAGTTACTACAGCCAGGTTTGATCTCTTTTCCCGGGTATTGTATTTCTTCGGCAATGTTGTAGTGTGGCGATGTTGTTGCTGTTGTTGTTTTTGTTACAATTGTTACTTGTAGTTAGCAACAACATTATTGTTGTTGGTTTTTTTTTTTTTTGGTACCACCAGCAATCGAAAAGAAAAAGTGTTTATCACCATCTGAGCCGGCTCAGGATTGCGAAGCATCCACCATCGCCTGACACAACCAACCAACCAGTCAGTAACATAGCCA